GAAAAGCTAAAAGCAAGTTGGAGTTCCTGTTGCAGGATGGCCCATGCTGGCCCAGCACAGCCCTGCTGCCCAGCCAGCTCTGTCCATGGCACTGCCATCAGGATGCCTGTGACTACAGCAGGAGGCTTTTCCCAGTGAGGATGTTGGCTGGAGCAGGGAGACATCCCTGTCCTTGTCCATCCCTCCAGGGCTGCTGCTGAGCTGTGGTGCCACGGGGAGCAGCAGTGCTGGCAGTCAGCAGGGGTGGCACAGGGCAGCAGGTGATGTCCTTGCCTCCTTTGCCACCCATGCTGCCACCCACCCAGCCAGAGCCAGGGGAGGCTGAGGTTCCCTCTAGGTTAGGAAAGGCAAGATGGCTGCACTGCCACAGCAGGAGCCCTGGCCCCACACTGCACTGGACACAGCCTCCTCATCCGACAGTCCTGGCCTCTGTCACTGCTGCTGTGTCAGCCGTGTGGCCCCAGGCCAGTGTCACCCCCTGGCAGGCACTGCTGGGGACACTGGTCCTGTCTTAGAGCCGTAGCGTGGGCTGAGATTTCCTCCTCAGGGCTTGAGCTGGGGCTGTGGGGGCCCACAGCAGGGTTGTGCAAAGCCTTTGGCTGCTGAGGGAGGGAGGCACAAGCATCCCTCCCCCTCTGCCAGCTGTGAGGCTTAGTATGAGCTTGACTTCCACTCGTGGGCAAGCGCCACACTGCTGTCAGAGCTCTGCATCCCTGCCACGGAGCTGTGAGGTGGGCAGGGGTACCACCTCCTGGGCAGGACAGGGGCTCCTCTCCCCCTTCGCTGACCCACACCTTGTCCCCAGATCAGCCTGAACAAGGGGGATGAGTACTGGTGGAATGCCATCCTGGAGGGCGAGGAGCAGATCGACATTGACAAGATCAACAAGGAGCGCTCCATGGCCACGGTGGACGAGGAGGAGCATGCCGTGCTGGATCGCCTCACCTTTGACTACCACCAGAAGCTGCAGGGCAAGCCCCAGAGCCATGAGCTGGTAGGTGCTGGCTACCTTGTGCCACCAGCCCAGCCTGGCCCACCCACCTGCCTTTCAAGGGTCCCATCCCCAGGAGAAGGGGCCCCATGGCTCTGCTCCATCTCAGAGCTCCTCCTCATGTGTCCCCCCACACTAACATTTGGGGGGTGAGGTTCTGCTGGTCAGTCTTTTGCCATGCACTCCTGTCTTCCCCTTCCTGGCACCCTGGCAGGTGCCTGTAAGCCCAGACCCCCTGTACCAGGGATGGGCCCCACATCCCTGCCCTTCTCCCAAGCTGGCCCTGCTCAGGGCTGGACCCACATGGCGCTGCCTGGTGCTGCCCTGGGTGCTGTCCGCCCTTTCCCAGGCACAGAAGTGCTGTGTGCCCTTGGCAATGACCACTGCCAGCCAGGGAGGAAGGGGGACTGCTGCCCACACCCCTTCCCATGGGTCAGGTGGTCACGCAGCCCCAAGGCCTGTGGGATGAGCTGCAGGGCAGAGCAGGGCTGTGGGGAGCAGCGTGGTCTCGCCCCGGGCTGACGGAAGCTGCGGCCTCTTTGCAGAAGGTGCATGAGATGTTAAAGAAGGGCTGGGACACCGAGGGCTCGCCGTTCCGCGGCCAGAAATTCGACCCCTCCATGTTCAACATCTCCCCCGGCGCCGTCCAGTTTTGACAGTGGCAAAAACAACTGAAAAATAAAGCAGGGAGAGGCGACCTCCCGGCCCCTGGATGCCCACCAGGATCCTCACACCCAGCGCCAGTGCCCGGGACTCACTGATCCACGCTGCCGGCACCCATCCGTGCTGTGTGGGGAAGCCTGAGGAAGTGGGCAGATTTACATCCTGTCACCACGGCAACCCGGGCACCAGGACCCCTCTCCTCCCCTCCTCTCCCCTCCCCTCACCTCGAGCTGCCGGTGCTCCGTGTTTTTCTGGAATAGAGGGAGCGTGTTGGGTCGCGTTGGGTGACATAATTACTGTTTTTGGTGGAGGAGGATACTGCTTCTGGGGTTTCTGGGGATGTGGAGCTCTCCCTGCCCTAGCACTGGGCAGCTTTGCCCCTCACAGGTGGAGATGGGTGCTGGGGATGGGCAGTGGGGATGGGGAAGCCTGCCCCTGCCTGCCTCTGCCAGCACCCTGCCCACCTGGCACCCCCTAATCCTCTCACCAGCCCCACTCCAGGGTATCCCCAGGGGGCTGTGCTGCCCCTGCCCTCTGCCCAGCCCCGGGGGGGGCTTTTCCTGGCTTCCCCCTCCTTCACCTCCTCACTGGAGGGTTGTGAGGACACCTGGGAGCGGGCAGAGACCACAGCCATCCCCTGGGGTTTGCACCCCCTGTGTCAGGGAGCAGCAGGGGTGCTCCCCGTAGCCCTGGCGTTTGGGGGGGCTACAGGCCCACCCCTCATGGCCAGCAGCTGGGCAGGAGCCCCTGAAACATACGGGTTTCCCTGGCATGGTACTTAGGGGTCTGAGAGTGGGGACTGCCTGGGAGGGGAGGCCCCAGCAAGCCCAGCCTGGCTCTCACAGCTTCCCACCAGCCCCCCACCCTGGGCTGTGCGGGCTGGGGGTCCCCGGCCATCGCCTTGTCCGGTTGCCCACCCCCCACCCCTGTCTGCAATAAACACATGTCACCGTGGGGCCTGTGAGTGATTCGGTGCCACCCAGGGGATTGAGTGTGCCCCATTCTCCACCGTCACCTTGCTTAGGGGACAAGGACAGGGACACCGTGCCTGGGGTGTCTGTCTGTCTGTCTGTTTGTCTGTCTGTCTGTCTGCCAGCACGGGCTCCAACACCGGGGTGGGTGTTGTGGTGCATATGGGGAGAGTAGAATTTGGGGGTCCTTCAGGGTGTGGATGTAGGATTCCTGGGGGTGGAGGGCGTGAGTTTTGAGATCCCTGGGAGGGGCTAGGTATAGGATACCCCGGGGAGGGCCGGATTTATGGGTTCCTTGGGTGTGGGGATGCTGGAATGTGGAATCCCAGGGTGGGGGGCTAGATTTTGGAGTCCTTGGGGTGTGGTATGAGATCCCTAGGGAGAGGTACTGCATTTCTGTGTCCTTGGGGCAGGGGGATGCGCATGGGATCCCCAAAGCTGGCTGGCTTTCATAGGGTGGGTGCTCCGGGGATACCACCCCCGAGGTGTCGCCCACCCCTCTCCCCCTGCACCGGTGCCGGCATCTCTCGGTGCCGATGCGCACACCGGGCCCCCCCCCGGCCCCCCGGCCGCCCACGGTCCCCATGGCAACGGCAAAATTTGGGAATTTGGGCCACCCACCCACCCCTCCGGCATGGTGGGGGGGACACCCCGCTGTCCCCAGGCCCCGGGGCTGCTGCTGCCCTCCGGGGTGGCCTTCTGTGTGTCCCCCGCAGCAAAATCCACCCCCGCGTGATGCTGCTGACACTGGGGGGCTTCAAGGTGCCCTTGGGGGAAGCAGGGGGGTGATTTTGTCCCTCTCCGACCTCTCCCGGGTGTTTTGCCTGGGGAGGGGTTGGAGCCTGGAAGGGTTGTTTGGGGTGACATTGGTGCGGGAGGAGGGAGCTCGGTGTTGGGGGGAATAGGGGGATTCCCCGAGGGGGAGAAGGCAGGGCATGGATGGGGGTCTCTGTGCAGGTTATCTGGATATTGGGGCTTTTTAGGGGACATTATGGGATCCGGAAGGGGTGCGGGTTTGGGGTCCTTTGGGGGGGGTGGTTGTGAAATTCTTGAGGGGGGTCTGGATCTGAGTCCTGTTGCGGGGAGTGTGGATGTGAGTGTGGGTTTGGGGTCCTTGGGGGGATCCGTCGGAGGGAGTCTGGACACAGGGCTGTTTGTGGGGGGACTCCCGGGAAGGGGCGTCTGGATATGGGGCCTTTAGGGGTGGGGGCTTGGTTTCCCACTGCCGGGGGTAATTTGGGATAAAGGGGTCCCGGGGTGGGTGGGTGGCTCTGCTTATGGGGCCCTTGTGGAGACAGGGGGGATCCCCCGGCGTGCGGGGGCNCCCCCACCCCTTATACCGCCCCCCTCCTGGGGCCTTCCAGCCCTCCCCGGCAGCCCGGACCCCTCAGCTCCTGGGGGTCCCCCCTCCCCATAGCCCTCCCTGTTCCCCATCCTTATGGACCCCCACCTTTAGGCTGCCCTGATCTGTCCTCAACGCCCAGCCCTGGTCACCCCAGACCCCTCCTCCATCCCTCCCGATCCCCTGCAGTCCCCAGTCACCTGTCCCTGGAGACCCCCACTCACTCAGTCCTTACAGCTGCCCTTGACCCTATGGACACTCCATCCTTGCAGACCCCCCAGTTCCTCCCCAACCCCTCCCCACCATTTTCACAGATTCCCCCAGCACACCTAATCCTGCCCCTGCCTCCTACAGACCCCCTCAGTCCTTAAAGCCCCCCCTGATGGATTTCCCCATCCCTCAGCCCCCCCCCATTTCCATAGACCCTCCCCCATCTCCACAGAACCCCCCCATTCCCCCCCATCCCTCTCCCCTCTGGTCCTTTCAGACCATACTCCCCCCATCCCCTATTAGACCCTTTTGGGCCTTATATAACTCCCCAAATCCACTCCCCCTTCGGGTCCTTACAGCCTCCAGCCCTCCTGGGCCCCCCGGGCCCTAAAGCCTCCCAGGGCCCCTCTGCTGCCCTGAATCCTTCCAAGCCCCCCAGCTGTGCCCCCGCATCGTGACCCCTCGGGTGGGTGTTGTGGGGAGCTGAAGAGGGGCTGTTTCTGAGGGGTTCATTTGCCCCCCCAAGGCCATGGGGGTTGCAGTTTCCCCCCCCCCATCCACGGGCAGGGATTGGCTGGGAGTAAAATGAGGGGAGCAGGAGGGGGTCAGACCTCGTGTGGGGGGCTGCACCACCCCCTCCCTAGATCGGGGAGCGCTTTGCAGGGGTGGCTGTGTCCCTTTGGGGGTACCAGCAGGGGGAACATGGTGCCAATCGGGGGCTGTTCTCTCGGTCTGCCCAAAATCCAGCCCATCCTGGTTGCCATGGCAACGTGGTCCTGTTTCCCCCTTCCCATCTCCCGGTGTAGCCTGCCAGCCATCGCGCATGTGTCCCCCCCTCACCGGGGTAGGGGGGGGGATCCCTCTCGCCGGGGGGAAACTGAGGCACGGCTCGGGCCACGACGGTGTGCCCCCCCCAGGGACTGGCAGCCACCATGTCCCCTGTCCTGGGGGCCACGTGGGGAAGGGAGGGGTCAGGGCCGTGGGAACCCCCACTGTTCCCCTGGTGGTGAGAGGGTCCCCCCTGTTTGGGCCAGCATGGGGCCCTCGGTGCCTGAGGACACGGGGACACGGGGCGGTGGCAGGAGAGGCCCTGAACCCTTCCCAGGGCACACGTCCCACGCAGCTCCCTCTCCGCGGCAGGCCTGGGGTGGTGCTGGTCTCAGCCGTGTCCCCAGCCTGTTGTGGGGATCTCCTCTGTGTGCCCAGCAAGGGAGGGGCCTGTCGGGCAGGGGACAGGCAGGGACAAGGGTCCTGGAAGGGGGACAGCAGCACTTGAAGGGGGTGACGGTGTTTCTGCCCGGCACGGGCACGACCCTGCTTTTCTCATCTCTGTCCCTGTCCCTGGGGGGGGACAGCTGGTGGCTGCCAGCTCCCCACTCTCGGAGCCGGGTCCTGTGCCCAGCTACCACCACCACTGCCACCACCACTGTCACCGCCACTACCATCATCACCATCACCGCCACCACGGCCACTGCTGCCATCCGGGCCACCCACTGTTCCCATGGCAACGAGCTGCCGGTGCTGGATCCTTCCTGCGACCCCCCCCTCCCGCGGTGCTGCGTGGCACCGAGCCCCCCCTCCGCCCTCCTTCC